AATTGATGATTAAGTAAAGCAGTGAGTCTAATTATAGTTCAGAACGTTAGCTCAAATGTAATCAATACCAGATATGTAGAAACCGTTGGAAGAAAACTAGAGTGTTATATTTTCTACAGATATTTGGCATTCATTATTAAAATTTGCTCACATGACTTAGCGGCATGATAAAGAAAAACCTAAATCATTCAAACAGCTATCATTTTAGACACATGTGTCACACACATATTCTAACTGTTTCAGTTGATAAGAATTTACAGTCCCATTAACAAATTTGTTATCTTAATCCGTTTATTCTGGATTTCTCACAAAGAATATACAATTGTCCGGAAATTATCGAATTCACAATTCAACAAAACCAATAACTTGTTGTTTAATTACGTTTGATATTGATGAACCTAAAGTTAAAATAACATGGAACTATTGATGTTTGAAAATTAATGATAGAATAGCAATAAATAAACAACGAATTGACTCTGTATATTTTTATTTCTTTCAATAGTGTTACAACATATATCCTATGAAGTGTAAGTAGTTGGAATTTATTATTAGAAGGAATTTGAACATACTCTAAAAGATATATGGGAAATTGATATGATTGATCTATTAGAGAACAGTCAACTGCGGGATTCAAGAAAGGAAAAACAAAAGGACAGCAATTAACAACAGCCAAACAAGAACAGAGGAAATTTAGGCGCAGGATGAATGCGCAGAAGCAAACAAGCTAATGAAGAGGAGCATCATAGCCCACAAGCAGAAATACATGGAAGATCTAGCAAGGACAGTGGAAAAGGCTGAAACGGAGGGGAATATGACACAACGAAGAAATCGGTAGGAAACCATCACCAAAACAGCACAAGTATTTGTAAACGATTGTCTACTCAAGATACTCAATGTCCGTTTACTGGATACCATCAGTAACAGCCTACTGTGAGGGAGAACAAATCAGCTTTCAACTGAGTAGGAAATTAGCAGAAAACGTTAGAGGCGGATAGGAGATACATTGTGGAAATCATCAAACTGCTTCATGAGACAAGCTCTAACTTGGAATCCTGAAGACATAAAAGGAAATGAGGAAGGCCAACGAACACGTCGCGTCGGAGATTCGAAGCAGACATCAAATGGATGAATATCAACTGGAAAGGAGATGGGAAGAGAGAGTTGGATGGAAAATGCTGTGAGTTGCCTATACTCCTCCAAGAGGGGTAAAAGGTGCAAGTAAGTAGTTAATTTACATTGTGAAAAGAGACCGATGGGAATTTCATTTATGAGCTAACCAATCTGGTTTAAGGTAGCGACTGCCTGGTTTTTCAGCGAAAACCATTCATCCATACGCAAAAATGTATAGTGACTAGCAGTGTAATCCAGAACGCGCGTTTCGTCCTATTTGGAACCTGTCAGCTGGATGTGCCTGCATCCGAGTTGATGTTCACTCCTGGACGCGAACCCAGTACCGTTCGCTTCAAACGCCATTGCATTATCTACTTAGCTACTGAGTCCTGATAGAACTATCCATCTTTGCTTATAATACTTGTGAAGTAAGGCAATACGCACAGTATGCACATATGCCAATAAGAGAATGGTCAATTGAGGTTCTAAACATCAATGGGAAGATTCAAGTAAACAATACCAAGTGAATTTATTCATCTATACGGTTGTTTAGAATTTTAGTATTACAGCTAATGTCAGTTCATGAACAAAACCTTGACTGTAATTATTAAGCCTAAGTTCCGACTTCTAATCCTAAATAGTAGAAGTTTCTCAAGGCCACTTTTAGTATCACTCAAAGGTCGTTCATAAGTTATGTTCTCTTCAAGATTTCACCAAAGTTCCGAACACTAACTGAATAGAAAATTTTATACAATATGGAAATAAAATGTTTCTAAGCTGCCTACCGGATCATTAGGCAACAGTAATCAATATGGTGCTTGTTTAGGGTCTGGGACTGATAAAATTCTATTAACCGAGTGTAATCACAATTGTGTAAATAATCAAACATTGTTTGTACTGTACTTTGGCATTATATAACCGGATAGAATTGAGTCCTACGGAGAGCATCCGTTTGCTGAGAGTTTCAGGTGAACCTTACGAGTATTAAATAGCATGAAACGTTGACTGTCTGTCGCGTTCAATCACTTAACATTAAAGTTTGTAAGAATATCGGTACGAATTCTTCCTGTTAAATTTAATGAATTATAACCACAGTTAAAAGGATACGAAGAAATCGTTCAAACCGTTAATTGATTATAGATAGATTGAACAATTAAAAACAAACTACGCAATTTATATTTTGATAGTAAAAAGATATATTGGAATACATTATTATATACATAGGATGACCAGTCGGAAAACATTCATGTATATAAGATTTGTCCGCTTGTATTAGTGATCGAATATAGGAGTCAATTGGTTCATTACGTATAAACATAGTAGTTTTACAAGAAGCTAGTCTCTAACCGAATAGTGCAATGACAAACACATCAAGCTGTATACACAGATAGCACCACTGAATTAACGGATGTGACGAGGTTGACTAATAAGTGCGGTTTAAAAAGGATTACAAATCGTTGAGAAATTTCAGTCGTTCATCATCATTTCGTGGATCGAATTTATTCGCACATATTATCATAAAACTAACAAAAGATTATTATTAAATTCATTTTATGTTTATCTATATGTTTGCATATTGAATAAATAAATTTTCTTGCGAACAAAAATACTGCTTTCTTTCTATTCCATACTCTCTCTTTCTACGTCATGTGTTGTGTAGAAATTATTTTTACAGAATTTTCAACAGCTGTTCATTACTTTACGCTAAGTGTAAAATGGACCAGTTATTCACCTTTTTATTACAGCATTCAAAATCAATATTGATAGAATATTGAGATCTATATTTTTCGGTGTTCATGTAGAAATCAGAAAAATAATATAAAGTGGGCAATATTGGAATAGCTATTCCCAACAATTCGCATGAGATGCATATATGCCAGACCAGGACTGGTCAGGTTTCATTCAAGATATCAACAATGGGATAAACCAATCCATTTCACATTGAATTAAATCGGAATGGATAACTTCTGTCGTTGAACCGATCAGAATAAATCATTCAATTATTTCCTGATAGCAACTTTATATTCTAAATTGTCGAAGTTCAACTAGAAATAATAGTTTCATTGAAGGAAAGGAAGAAAGAATGATTCAAGAAAAATCAACTTTGAATGAAAGTAAAGATTGATCAAGATTTAGGAGATGGAATATAACACTTAACACTTTTCATGACTGAATACTGACTGGACTAGTTTAAAGGACACATTAGACAGGAATTCAATTCGAAATTGATTTAGTTTCGGGTGTTTTAGTGTAAAGAAGCATTTCGAGAGAGGAGCATTATTTTTGTCGACGAACATTTTCTAGTAGACGGTCTACCAAATAGCATTTTCACACGTGTACATAAAATTGACGTGTTTATTATG